CCCCCCCCCCCCCCCCCTCCCCGCCAGTTGACGACCACCAAAATGTACATGTATTATATTCAGATAGAACAGGATGCATTTTAAATTTACACCTTTGATATTTATTTTAATTTTTTAAAAATTAAAAACTATTGTTTAATAACTATTAATTTTAGGCCAAGAAAATGTGGTCTGAAATATTTTTTCTTCCTTTCTTTTCTTTTCTTCTTTTTTTCCCCCAACCTTTTAGAGCATCATGTTTGACGTTGACTTGGTAAGGACCTCACAACTTTTTACTGACTCCCCCTCCCCTTGAGCTGATGTCATTTGTTAACCATCCCTAAATGTCAGTCTTTGGCTTGACGTTTTAGTCTTACTCTTACTGCTGAAGTTCATTTGGGGCAAATGAAGCCAGGAGCTTTAGCTTTTTTTAGACCGGTGATCTCATGTATGTATACATGATGAAGTGAGTCATCAACTGAATGGCAATGGAAATTTGTTGTTTAGTGTGAATGAGACGGCCAAAGAAACAGGTGCTTATAGTTATAGCTGGAGAACTGGTAATTCATTCACTTTTTAGACAGGTTCTTTTTTTCTTTTTTTTTGTAAGGAAGAAATACGATCAGAATAAAGATGTCACTTTTATTCATATATTGTGTTTGTCACACTATAAATGAGAAACCATTCCTCTGTTATGGCATGGTTTATATCTTTTAGAGACTTTAATTGTGCTCTTGTTTGGTCTTCCAGTGTACACATAATGAATGAGCTGGGAATATTGCTTCATCTTTTGAGGCGGAGAAAATCGGTTGACTTGTCAACCTTCCTGATTTTATTGGGAAGTTCCCAAATTCTGGCTGCTTTTCCGAAGGTCCCAATAATTATGTCATTTTCCTAATTAATTGAGCAACAGTGGAAATTATTTTCTATCCTAAAAGTCTGATGAAGTGCGACTTTGATGATGATAGCTGTGGTTTTTACTAGAGGTGGTGTCTGCTTCTTTGTCCTTCTTGTTCCTGGCAAACAATTAGCCATTTTGGCCATATTCAGCCAAACAATACATTCAGCTTTTACCTCTTCAAAATGTTTGGCAGGATTTTGCAACATCAAAAATGTCTCTTCTTCCTGAAGGAGGTATTTGTGTGTTAGGGCCGTGTGTCCAATGCATAATCGAGTAAAAATAACTTAATCTCTTCTGGAGAGGCCCGAAGGATTTCGCGGTCCTAGTTTGGGTTTAATGTTGTGCGGTTTGTTATTAGTTTGTTTTTCCAATATCTCTTTCACAGACTGGAGGTGTACTTTTTTACTTTATTATTATTTTTAAGGTCAGTCTGTGGGAGTGTTCGTCGTTGGTCCCAACAGAAGGTATAAAGGATTTCTTCGCCAGGTCATCTACCTGTTCGTTTCCTCGGATGCCCACATGGCTAGGTTTCAATGCGAATACAATACTTTTCCCTGTTTCAGTTTCAGTTAAGGAGTGTATTTTCTGTTGTAGCCTAACTATTTTTGGTAGTAGGAGTGTGTAGTTTGTGAGTGAGGTGATGCAAGACAGAGAGTCAGAAAGGATAAGGAAAGATTTGTTAGGAGAATTTTCTACGGAGTCCAGTGCCATGTCAATGGCAGTGGCCTCCGCAGGGAAAACGGAGGCTTCAGGAAGGAGTATCTTCTGGTGTGTACTGTTTGAAGATAGGGCTGCAGTGCCCACATCATTGTCTTTAATCGAAATATTGACCTCAACCAAACTGTGCTGTGAATTGTTGTGAATGCACCCAACTTATGTTTCGCACGCTCTCAGCTCTGAAAACCATGTACTTTGTACATGCAACTCACCCACAAAGAGACACTTTTTCAAACAGATCATACAGCAGAATCATTTCTCCTGACACAGGGCAGTCAGGGCTATTTAACAGAGGAACTCCATAACCCACCAGTCCCACTATTCCATCAACCTTTTGTTCATCCCAATGGTGATGGTAATTGGTATAACTATAATAAAGGTTTGACTGAACAAAATGTATCTTTCTCCAAATAAACTTTTTAAAAGAAGTTTTAGTAGGGGTATTACGGCGCTCGCAACTGCATAAGCTCATATGAGCGCCAGAAGGTAAAGGTGTTACAAGAGAGTAACAAACATAAGAAAGAAGAAGGGGAGATAAGGACGATAGATGTGTGATAGGAAAGAAGAAGCAAACCACACCAGACCACCCGCCAACCACCCACAAATAAACATTTTGCCAGTTCTTCCCACATCATTACCAGAAGAAAAGAACAAAACAAACAACCACTTTGTCACAGGCAGACAGAAAACACGACAACAAATTATTGATAACTAATTTTGCTGTCTTTCAAAAGACAAAAGACTTGCACTTTATTTTTTAAAATGCACCATGTGATTGGAAATCAGGGTCTGACAATCTAAAAACTTCAACATTTATCTAAAAATGTTCTTATTCATAGTATAATAGCATGGGAAGTTACATGTAAAATGTAAGTCTATTCCCAGATTTTCAGCGTTGGTATACTTGACAATAAAGCCATTATCAGTGTCAGGGTAACATAAGACAAAATTAGATCAGTCAGGAATAATTATTTTTAAAATGCAGATTGTGGAAAATCTAAGTCTAGCACAGTAAATATCCTAATAATAGTGAAAGTCCAGATAACTTTTCACAGCTTTTAGGATATAAACATGTACGATCTACGAAAAGAATGCCTGTAGTACACATGACAACATTTTAAAACAAATTATACAACATTTCATTTACCCGAAGAGGGCATCTAAACAGACATCTAAATTAAGTTTCCATTTACTTTATTACATCAGAGGGTTTGTGAAATGTATGCATAATTCTTTTTTGTTTGTGATAATGAAGAATTGTTTATGTTTTTCCATTCCAAAAGGAAATCTACTGTTTAATAAGGCCTTTTAAACTGCCATGTGTGAGAGTATCATGACATACATTGGAAACAATTTTGTTTATAACAGCTTGTGAAAAAAGACAAATAGATCTATCGTTCAATTTTGCAAAAAAATTGGTCCACAAAATGCAGAAAAAAGTACTGTAATATAAAGGTGATGATAAAAAGAAACCCTTTACGTAACTACTAGACAAAAAGTTTATATATGAGTGGCACAAAATTATAAATTATGATACATCTAGTGATTTAGAATACCTATACTTTGTGAAAAAATGGGCATTCAACAAACATAAATGGATCAGAAATAAAGCAAGGACTAATACTAATAAATAAAAAAGCCCCAACCAACCAAATCAGTAAATGAAGCTTAAATAAAACATTTCACTGCATCTGGAGAATTCACATTTAATCTAGCATGCCAAATGTAAAAATCAGTTTAAAAAACAAACAAACAAAAAAAAAAAAAACATTTATCACTAACAACCAATGACCAATAGTGGCGCCTCCCAAACCAATATCCGCGGGACAGCCGATTTAGAGAGATATCTGCTAAACAGACAAAAGATTAGTCCAGTTCACAGTACTGTGCTCAGCACTAGGCTAGAGAAGTGGCAAGGTTCAACAATGCCAGTGATGTCATGAAACACATCACATGCCAGTGAATCATTGAAAAGTGCTCATACGTAGAGCCTACATGACCTAAATACAGAAACAGTAGGCCATGACTAACAATACATGACTCGCTATCCTTGCATCAATAGGCCTAGACACAGTGCATGGGCCTAATGATGTTGGGTATAATAAACATAGGCAAACAGTACACTGGCGACATCTCTCTCTGGCCCGCAATCAACACACATACATCCTGCACTTTCTTGTATCTGTCTCCTGTTTTGCTGTCTAGAGGAGTCTAAGCCTTCAAGATTTGCACTGCCCGAGGGTTATTTTATTAGTGAAGATCCATGTAACATAACCCTAAAAAAAAATCTTTTCGATATTGAAAAAGGAGCATTTTGGCTAATCGACCTTTTTCTTAAAAGACTGAGATGGAAAAAATTGCGGATTCTCTTTTCTTTCAGCTTACCACTGTTTTCAGATTAACCGTGACCGGTTTACAAGGACTCCACTACACTAGAGAATGAAAAATCATTTAAATATCAACAATAACTTTTACCAGTGAGACGATATCAAAAAGTAAAATATAAAAAAAATTATTGTCACACAGAGAGTACTAAGCGCTCCGATATAAAATCCTGAGACTAAATTACTGTTGACTAGGATAACAAGTATAAAACAAAGTTCACGTGTAATACACATATAAGGACATTGTTGCAATTTGCATTGGTGTAGAACTTGAAAGTACCAACCCCTTGTTACAAGTCAAGATTATTACTTCCGTGGTGCAAGAAATAATAAAGCAATATCGCTTAAAATGTACAACATGTTTAAGATTCATTTCCTTTATAATTATACTTCTCCTTCTCATCATCACAAAACCAGATATTATCATGAAATGTAAAAACCACACCCAGCAACAGGATTTTTAAAATTATATTTATTTTTTTGGGGGGGGGTGTAAAGAAATTGAAACAAGCGAAAATTGTCCATTCATATCGACTGCAACAAAATTGAATCGGGAGATCCAAAGGCGATTAAGTTAAGCATGGACAAGCAATTTCTAGGTTTCAATCTAAGCACAACCAATGGACCAGGTAAACATAAGACTTATAAGGGCATAGGTAAACACTGGTATTATTTTCTGTGTCATTATTCACTCTAAGCAGAAAAACTTGTACTAGTTATTTACTATATTAGTATTAGTTCAAATTTTGCACTTCTTACCTATACAGGAAACGTAAAACTATGATGACTTAATTTCAGAAATTTATTGTTTTGAGTAGAACTGACATGTCTGGAGATTCAGTTTATAACCTTGTGAAATTTTCAAATAAAACTAAGAAATCACGAAAAACTGCGTAGAAATGGAAGTGTTAAGTTATATGTGAGGCATCGTGGTGAAATCAGGCGGTTTTCAAAATAACAAAATTGGAGAAACAGGCATTTTACCACCAGTTTCGCAATTTTGTGGGTTTTTGTTCAACCCTTTTATCTCCGAATAAAAACACATTTCATAATTTACATTGAAAAACATTGATTAAAAGCTCAAAATATGTATTTGTTCAGTTTCCAAGGACTTTTTAGTTATCAAAGTTAACAAATTTTGGCAGCCATTATTTCCCTATTTTTACTGCTGAAATCAAGTGAACTTACCTCTTAATCACAAATATATAGTATGTATATAGATCTTCACTTCTGCTCAAAATATATGGGTATTTTTTTCATAAAAAGCAAGATAAATGAATAAGCTTTAAGATGATACCAATTATTTCATATGCACAAAAATTGACGAGCGCCTGATTCCACCGCGTCGTGACACAAATGGTTAGAAATTATCCAAAAATAGCTTGCTTCCCAAACTATTCTTTTAAGCAAGGACACCTACTGGACCCAAAAATTGTGTAAAATATCGTATTACTTTTATTATTATCAAAGTCTACGAGCATCATAACACAATTAATAAAATGTAGAAACGTACAGCTCTATATTGATCCATAATACACAGCCTCCCTTTTCAACCATCGTTAAATCATATATTTATATCACATAATGCGAGATGAGGACATTGACATTTAAATGTACATTAAAAATCAAACCACAAGGACAAAGCAGACATTCTTCAAGCTGTAGCATCCTACACCACCTTGAGTATTAACATTTTCTGAGAGTTCGTTTTTCATTTTTTTTTAAAAGAGGACAGTTTTTGTCCAAAATGATACTAAAACCGTATCCACACAACCTGATAAGCCATAGAGCCAAGTACACAATGTAGCCTACCTTTAAGCATACAATTCACACACATCATGGAGACAGATATTCAACATATCTCACTGAAGAGAAACTAGTAGAATACTGGAGTTTTTAAAGCTGAAAAAGAGCACCAGAGAAAAGGGACATAACTTGCAGTGAGAACAAAGCACAATAGTCTTGGGCACAAACCACTTAAGTTAACTCCGAAAAGCTCATTTTGTTGCGAGAGCAGCTTTTGCATCAGAAATAAATAGAACCAACAGACCGGCTGCTCGACAATAGGGTTATCACAACTACAATAAAACCAGTAAAATACACACATCTATTAGACCAAACATGTGGCTAGAATAAAGAATACATTATTCCTTTGAGTTACGAGTCTCAAGTCAGGTCCCATTTAAACATCAGACATGTTTCTGACTTGAAGAGGCTATGAAATATCCAGTTTTTCATTTACCAAATTGCTTCTAATGTTAAAACACTCATATAAGTACCGTACTGAAAAATGCAAATCCTACACACTTGTTCACCAGATAGCATAACATGTATCATTTTAAAAAACAACTGCGACTTAGATGGTTTGTGTTCAAAACCATCTACACATAATTTACAAAGGTGGGAAGTAGCTTCTAGTGAAGCTCACACGGTGAAGGTTTTGTTCTGAACACAACAGTGGACACAGAGAACAAACAACAATGTTCTCAGAGAAGAGAATGCACAAAATATCGTTGAGAATTATCCTGAAAAGCTGCACATTTGTAACAAATTTGTTCAGTGACAGGGAAAATAATATATTTTCCTGGTGTATCGCCTAAGGTGCACATTTTGTTCATTGTGCATTATGGCAATAAAATTGCATGAAGGTAAGTGCTAAGTTTAAAACTTCTATCAAAATGGTGAAAACCATACTGGACATTGCATGAATAAAAATCATCCAATATTTTCTAAAATGAACACTCCTAAATCTTCTAGAGTATTTGCATTGATTGAGAATACACAAGGTAAAAAGATATTAGATATTTGTTCATTACATAACAAAGAGTGGAGTTAAAATAAACATAGAGTAAAATGAGTTTTTCAAAATCCTTAAACAAAGTTTAAGAATGATTATCATCCTGAATTAAATACTGAGATCTTCATCCTTTTCAAACAACAACGTTTTCTGAAAGTGAAAGCAGCAATGGTAAAAATACCATTACTATCAATTAAATCAGACATAATGAATCAGACTTTTCTCATTGAACATCTGAGGGAACTTCACAAAAGGAAACAAACATTAAAACAATTCACTAAAGAAAAGCAGGGAATCATTTCCCTCCAAATCCAAAGAGTCTTAACAAACCACCAAAGAGCACCAGCAAGAAAAGAGAACATTTCAGTGTGAGGCACAAAAGTGCCAATCACCGGTAAGTTTAAGTAATCTACTTGTGATGGTGGGGATGGAACAGCTCCTTCAGTTGATGAGCCAAGTGACCATGTCCTAGATGCTTCAGCATTTCCTCTGCTTCTTTGTGTGACTGGGGAATAGATTGTTGGTTAGAGTGAAAGCAAAGACAGTCAACATGAAAGCAGTCATTTGAAAATTTAAAGCTAAAAAAAAAAAACTTTTACTTTCTACAGATCAAAATTTAGTTGAGGAAAAGTAAATTTACAACAAAAAAAGGCTTGATTTAAGACGAATATTTTTTTTAAGCAGGCTTCAGTGCAAACATGAATATCACAAACTGTACAGTGACTGATGTCTCCTTTCCCTTTACGTGTTTTGTCTTGCTAGTAATTCGTGGGTGACTTGCACACAATATCTAATGCCTTATTTAGCTGTCCCCATGGTTTTATGCACCCTGCATAATTTAGCAAAATTTGATCATTTTTTGCATAATTTCTGATTATTTTCCTCTATCATTCTCTGTTAAAATTAACAGAATCGAATAATTTCAAATTTTTGGGCTCAGCATAATTTCAGAATTTTTCTTGCATAAAACGACGGGGACAGATTTAGTTACAAATTGCCACCTAAATCTACTCATAGTTCCTGCTCTCGTACAACAGAATCAGGACCTAATGGTAACTTTCTTTCTTCAAGTTTACGTTGTAGGTCTTATTTAACTCATTCACTACATATTATTTTCGGCTTGTGGACAAATTTTTTTCGGGAGGGCGAATGAGATGATAGTGGGCAGTTAAAAGGTCATTGGGGCCACAAATTCAAATAAATATCAACATATTATAGACCAATCTTTTCAGCATGGTTTGTAGAATACACCTAAAATGTTTATTTATGTATTTTTCAACTTTGGTTCCTGTAAGAGGCGATTATGCAACACAATTTTGACTTGATGCGGATAAAATTTGAAAAAAAAAATTAATAATCTTTGGTGAAACTCAAAAAATATGTTTGCACCTAGTCAAATGATACATCAAAATAACCATAAATGAATATAGAACTGGAAAATATTGAAAAGTTTGCAGTTATTTACATGCATTCCATAATATTTGTACATTTGGATCATAACATCCGATATAGAAAAAAAACACATTTTTATAATCTTGAAAAACGATCACAAACAGAAAAAAACCCACTCGTATCTTATATGGAATTATTCAGAATTGCATTTGGAATAAACCTATACATGTCTTGAGTTGCACTTTTTGTGTAATTTCATCAAAAAGTAGTGATTTTGAGGAGAAAAAAATATTTTGACAATTTAGACCTAGACCTATTTTTTTCTAGATCTAGCACTCAAAAATATTGATTTCTCAACAACAGTGCATTAGCAATATGAGTCCAATCGTATCAATATTATAAAAAAGAGTCCTATATTTCTTTAGTGGGCGACGGGCTATAATTTTGGTAGACCTGCATGTGAGCCTCAACCAGATTGTCTGAAAATTTTCCGCACCCCCCCCCCCCCCCCCCCACAAAAAAAGCCTTTGTGGGTGTCATAATCATAAGGAAAAACATCCGAGTAACGAGCGACCACCCCAACAAACACAATAAAGAAGAGACCTAACCCTAACCCTACCCCCAAAAAGAACCTGCAACGGGCCTCATGTAAAAAGGCCAAAACAAGTCCTAAATTAAAAAAAAAAATTTAATTAAAAAACCACACTCCAAAACAAACAAGGAGCATATCAAATAGATCTAGATCTATATATGGCTTACATCTACATTGCTATAGGGTTTGATACAATAACATAATAGAATTGGAATATATAATATGAATCCTTCATATATATATATATATATATATATATATATATATATATATATATATATATATATATATATATATATATATATATCTATATATATCATAGACCTATAATTAACCGAGACTGCGCGTCACGTGACTTTCGACATACACACAACATGGCTGCCCCCTGTCAAAACAGTTGGGCAAGCTGAGAGAGCGAGGTTTGAGCGTTATCAACAGGATTTCGTTAGATCTACACGATGGTTCAAAATTGCTGTGTCGTCTTTTGCAACAACAGAAGTTTCAAGGGATGTTCAGTTTCATTTCACAGGTAAGGATTTCTTTGTTACTGCCTTTTATATTATAAATTATGGGAATAACAATGAATGAAGAAAGTGAAGAAAGGCAAGAGGACGCCAACAACACAAAGACAAAGACAAAGAAAGCTAAGATCTATCTAGACTCTAGATCTAGTGCCTCCCTCTCCTCTCTGGCTCCCACTCAGAGTATGAATACCAGATTTAAAATGTCCAAAGCTATTACTATTACAGTGCTGATCGAATCAGTCAGTTTGAACGAGGCCCAGTTTGAAAGCATCCCTATCAATCCAAGCCTTAAATAAAACAAAGTTAGTAGAGTCTACACATTCAACAACATTATTGATTTTATTAATGAACATTGCTTTGACTCTCCCCTTAGGGATTATGTCGCGCTAATGGTCAAAACAAAAGTTCGTTAGTCCGCATACCCACCAAGTACATATGTACTTAATATCAAAACACCAGGCTTTGGTAGGTCATGTAAAGCAGTGTAGTCTTACCCCGCACGGATCGTACCCCGCACAGTACACAGTGACAGTGCCTCGGAGACATAAAATGTGTGTCTTGTGCTGTGGGCAAACCTCCCTACCCCCCCCCCCCTTCCTCCCGTGGCAGTCTCAGTGCCTCGCCTTTCCAGCTTCCAACCCCAACATGCGGTCATAAAGTAATAAACAGCCCTTACAAGGATGCTATGTCAATAGGCTCGAGGTCAATAAAAGTTGCGCAGTGTGTAGTGTGCACCTCGCACTGTTCAGTCTTTGTTAGGTACTCCTAACTCCTCTTGTTTCAGTGTATAGTTGGGTGAGCCTACGTCTCAGCTTCGTGTACATTCTCTCATTACACGTTTCAAAAGGTCGACACGTTTACTGCTCTGTCCCAGCACAAGAGTTTAGGCCTATTCTGTTGCTATTACTGCCCTACATTGTAGAGGTTTATTCTCTAAGTCTAAGCCTCAAGACCGTCATGTTTCGCCATGGCCATGAAACAGAAAAACCTTAGTTTTGAGTGAGATGAAACTTAAACTCTTTGCTGATGTGTACAAGAAACTGCTATTCATGTAAAAAAAGAAATCGCAGCCAAGTACGGTTCTAAAAAATAGTGATGTATTTTAACAGCTGATCTCTCCTTGTTTTTTCCACTTTGGCTTTGTATTTTACTCATCGACATGTATTATAATTATATTGGCCTCAAATCCTCTTCCCAAAGGATAACTTGAGAGTTATAACATTAACAGTGTTTAATTGTGTTTCCTCAACTGAATTGAACTCTTATTTTTTTTTTTCATTCTTTTCCTCAGCTTCCCCCATCCCATCAAAGATGCTGAGCGGAGGCAAAAATGGATCTCTGCCATCAGCAGAGCTGAACCTGACGGCAAACCTTGGATGCCGAAGAAAAACGACAAAGTATGCAGTGAACACTTTCTGCCAATAGATTATGTGGATGGAAAAGAAAGACATACTCTGAATGGAAAGGCTGTACCATCTAAGTTTCCTGGCTATCCAGCTCACAAGCAACAAGCCGACAAGAAACGACCGTCACCAAAGAAACGTAAACTTCCGTTACCAGAAAAACCATCCCCAAAACGTCCAACTTTAAACCCTTCAGTGTCTGTTGGGCTTGACCACACTTATCACTCGCCTTCTGCTGAAGTCAAAGTCCAACAGCTCCAGAAGAAATGGAAAGAGGCATGTGGCAAGCTAAAGGAAAAGAACAGGGAGGTGAAATTACTCAGTGAGAAATTGAAGAGACGAGAGTCTAAGATCTCGACGCTACTGGAGAAGCTGCAGGAGCTCAAGCTTATAAACGAGGAACACTGCGAAATCCTGAAGGAAAATTTTCCGGAAAACACGTTCTTGCTTATTGAGAATGAGTTGGCACAACAGGGGAAACTCAAGTCTCAGTTGCGATATTCAGATGAAATCAAAGCGTTCGCTGTAACACTGCACTATTACAGCGCTGCTGCATATGAGTATCTTCGTACGTTCCTCCATCTTCCCCATGCAGCATCGATCAGGAGGTGGGCGTCATCGTACAACGTAGAGCCAGGATACCTCCGTGGCGTGTTGAGTTTCATGGCTGAGCGTCTAAAAGTTGAGCCAGATATGAAGGATGTGGTACTCATGTTTGACTCCATGAGTATCAGGAAGGAGTTAGTCTATGTGCAAAGCAAGGGGGAATACATAGGCTGTGTAAATCATGGCTACTTACAGCCAGCTAGTGAGGAGGAACTAGCAACTGAAGCACTGGTCTTCATGGCAGTGGGTATGAAGAAGTTTTTTAAATACCCAGTTGCCTACTTCCTGGTAGACAAGATCACTGCTCAACAGCAAAGCCAGCTTGTGAAGGATTCGATTACTTTGCTGTCAGAGGCTGGCTTCACAACGAGGGCTGTGGTTTGTGATAGCGCCCCGTCTAATCAAGCCACGGCTACAAAATTGGGTTGTGTCATCACATCCACAGAGGTGAACCCCACATTCCCGGATCCAACCAACGTGAACAGGAACATCTATTTCTTGTTTGATGCAGCTCACCTGCTGAAGAATGTTAGAAATTGTCTTGGTGACCGAAAGGTTTTAAAAGTTGACAATCAGGATGTGAGGTGGGAATTCATTTGCCAGCTTCATAATCTACAGTCAAAACATACTTTGTTTCTGGCTAACAAGCTAAGAGCCAAGCACATTGACTATGTGAAGAATAAAATGAAGGTGAGTTTGGCTGCTCAAACGCTAAGCTCTTCAGTAGCTAATGCCATAGACTACCTCAGAGATGACATGAATGTTCCCGAATTCGCTGGGAGTGATGCGACAACCTTATTCATCAGGACCTTTGACAGCATTTTCGACATGTGCAATGCGAGCAACTGTCTCGGAAAAGGACTAAAATCCCCAATTTGTGTGAAAAACTTTGAAGAGAGGTGCGAGTTAGTGGACAATGCCATAACTTATATTTCTTCGATCTGTGATGCAAATGGCAACTCCATCCTTACAGCGCGACGGAAGGCAGGATTCCTTGGCTTTATTGCCACCTTGAAGTCTGTGATAGGGTTGAGTCGAGACTTACTTTTCGATTCCGGATACAGATTTGTGTTGCCCTTCCGTCTTTCTCAAGACCACCTGGAGACATATTTTAGTAAAATTAGAAGACGTGGTGGCAACAACAACAATCCCAATGCCCTCCAACTTCAGTGGGCTATGAGGGCATTACTGCACAGAAATGGGGTTGGCTCCTCTGCTAATGCCAACTGCAGAGCAATCCCAGAGGTAAACAACACGCTCATTGAGGATGCAGTAGCTTCCGATGCGACACCACAAATCAGGGAAGAGGAGTCTTTCCATAACGAGAGTGGATCGAGAGAGATGCCGGAGTCAGAAAGTCCACACCCTGACATGGTGAATTTACTTATGCGTCCTGGCCTCTATCACAACCATGTGCTTCATTATATTGCTGGCTTCATGTGTCGGAAGATCCAGAAGAAGATTAAGTGCAGCACATGCGCAGCATTCTTGTCCACCTCAACCTCTTCATCAGACGCGGCAACATTCACCAGGATTCGAGACAGGGGTGGACTAATTTATGCCAGCGACGATTTGCTAAATGTAGTCAAAACAGCTGATCGGTGTCTACGACGACTGCTCGTCACAGAGAAAGGAGGTCCCTTGTTGTCAGTGTCAGCTCTCACCACACGACTGGTGACACAAGAAGTTCTTGAGTCTGTGGGACTAACATCTTTTCAGGACCTTAAAGCCCATTGCCTTGAGAATCACTCAATCGAGCACCAAGATGACCACGCCACCCAGATAATAAAGGAGTTATGTGCAGTCTTCTGCAACCTAATGCTCACACACCATGGAAGGCTATTTAATGAACGCTTTGTTAGGAAAAACGAAGGATCGCAGCGTCACAAGTTGGCAAAGACAATCCTCTTCCTTCACGTCTAAGTGGCTACCCCTCCCCTGGATTACGCTTGGATGCCCACAATGAGCTGGTGAGTACAGAAAATAACTTGTGTAACAAACACATCTCTCAGTCTCTCTCTCTCTCCTCACTCTTTAGAACTGTGTACATCTTTCATCTTTGTTGTCTTTATAAAGTCATTTTCCTTTTCCTTCCTCTCTATCTTTCTCTTGCCCCTGAACTGAAGTATTCTTCTCCTGCCCAAGACAGTATGCAACCAACTTGATTCTTTCCTTCCCTTTGCTTCATGTTAAAAACGTATGCCACCATAATCTCCTTTTACTAAAAAATATAAGTACCGGTTTGAAATGAACAATGTACGTGGGTGGGCAGGTGTTGTGCACTCGTTCTTTCAACTAGATCTGATATTCATCCAAGTGTCTTAAATCTACTGAGTTCTATTTTCGTTCTTTTACTTTTTAGTTTCAAGTAGCTGTGCATCTGTTCTTATTTGTTTGTTTTCTTGGCTATTTTCAAGTTACAAGTAGTCAAGTAGATCCTTATGATATTATGCGTTTGTCCATAGACTCTACTTTTAATTTTATGATGAGATATCAGCGTGCGGTGACCGAAACTTGATGTGTGTTGTCATAACAACGGAATTTTGTATTAGATCCACTATAACTTTATGTCCTTACTTTTATCATCACTGTGGTACGCGTATTGTTCTTTATAATTTAAAAAAATTGTGGTATTAATTTCATCCATTACATTAGATACTTATGTCCCTGTTAGTTACACCTAGAGATAGAAACAATAAAACGAACGCAGTACGAATGCTAAGTCAGGGCCGCGAAAGGCCTCTCTAATCTAGTCAGCCGCCCAGGCAGTAGCGAGCGATTTTTGCCCAACTGTTCCGCCATTACTGTCTGCCCTAGTGCGCTGGCTGGGAAGGGAGGGCTGGCGTAGCCCGTGCGCAGTCTCGGCTAATTATAGGTCTATGATATATATATATATATATATACATCTAGATATATATATATATCTAGATATATATATATATATATATCTAGATATATATATATATATATATCTAGATATAGATCTAGAAATCTAGTAATCTAAATAAATCTAGATCTAGATCTTGTAGAACAAGTGAATAGGAATAGGCCTTGAACTAGAAATCCGCATCCGATTCCCAACAGAGGGACTCAGCTGAGTCTAGATTCTAGATCTAGATCTAGATCTTTACTCTAAATAAATAAACAATTCACGCACCTGATGAAATGCTTATTTTTTTACCAATATAAAGATTACAGCACAACCTATGATAGGGTTTGACACAATAGAATTGGAATATGAATTCTCCATTGAGGTCTATAATGATCTATATAAATCTAGATCTAGATTCTATTAGAACAAGAGAGTCGGACTTGAATGAATCCACACGATCTGAACAATTGAATTAGTCAACAAACGAAATTCAAAATGGCCGCTCGAGCACGAAACTGAAAGTAGACAATTTAAGTTGTCGTCTTTTTTCGTATTCGCATTTCTACTTAGGTTCCGACAATTATGTCGGAAACGCCGACGTCGGCAGTCGGCGGTGCGCGCGTCGGCGGTCGGCACGAAAACGAAAGTGCCGACGAAGCCGACGGGAGAAAAATGGGTCACTGGCAGTCGGCCAAGCCTCGCACTTCGCACATTGACATACAGGCGGGCCTATGATAGCATCGGCCGGTTCGCGGGTCGGGTCGCGATTGTCGGATTTCAGACGATTGTCGGCAAACATGCAGGTCTATTTTGGTATCGCGATAAAACAAAGTCGAATAAACTACGAAATCGCGTTTCAAAACTGAATCTAAATTTCCGATTTTCAGTGGAAATGCTTGACCCGGAAGTCAACAGTATATTATGACCTTTATTTTAACATGGATATGTGGATCGGAACAGAATCTACGCTAAAATTGAAGATCGGTTGTCAAGCCGCCGGGGGCAGCTTAGCGTACTGACGGCAGTTAAGCCGCGCCGCCCCCACGGCTCGGCGTAGCGTATGAGTTAAGTACTAGACCTAGATCTTGAACTGCCTGTTGGTTCCTTGGGGGATTGCCAGTGCTAGGTCTCATGTTTCACATTCTAAAGGTACTACCTACCTCTAAAAAAATGTTCTGCATATGGTCAAATTGTGCCCATTTTTTAAATGACATTAAACAAAAGCTATAAAATATTTCTCTGTCACTTATTTTGCATGTTATCGTGCTATGTCTGACGTTTCTGTGGTGTACATTTGGTGTATGTAGTGACAGGTAACAACAGGCAAGTTTGATGGAAAGAGAGGCAGAGGCAGACAGAGGGAAAAGATACTGGACATGATGACAACATGGCTAGGAGCAGCAAGAACAATAGACACTATTGCTGCAAGGCAAGGCAGAGTGAAGTGGAGGTCCATGATCGCCCACGCCAGTCGGCAAGGCACCAGATGATGATGATGAGTGACAGGTTAGTTTTTGTGAATTTTTTCAAACCTTCAAAAAAGTCCCCACTCCAGCACTTGTGTTTTCTAAAATACACTAGACTCAAGTGGGTTACGGTATCATGAAAATGACTCAAAATTTTAAAAGGGATTCCCAATCATTATTGGTTCCAAAAAACAATACCTCCTCCCCTAACAAATTCAGAATCAAGCTATAAAAAGTTCATTCAATTCTTGAAAGATAAACTCACCGGGCAAAAACTAAAAGTCTTAAAAGTAAAACCCAAAAAATAATCACCTCTTCATCATCAGGGGTTCGAACCTTGAACTCCAGCGTTTTCTTCAGGAATTCCAAAGCCTTCTCTTTGTTGTGCAAACGATTGTAAGTCTTTGCAATCATTAGGCAGTTGGTGCACATGAAATTTGGTTTAACTGGATGAAAGAAAAAAGGAATTATTACACAATTGTAAATAGCGAAAAATATAACAAAATAGACTTAGGCCCATTAATAGCTCATGAGTGACCATAATTTTTTCACACATATCGTCGCTGTCGCAGGCAATCCACTGAGGTCCACGATCATATACAGATCAATCAATATACAGTGTACAGACCTGCCACTCTATGAAATCTAAAAATCAGGATCTCAGGGGAAAAAAATCGGGATCAACGACAAGGTGACTGCCAAGCAGCCTAACAACAAAACATGTTTCCACGGGTTCCATGAATATATCCAGGTTCACGCCCTATGTGTGTGTGAGTGTATGTGCGTGCACATGCGCATTTTATCATTATTTTAAAAAATCATTAGGCATCACGTCAAGTACTCCTGGTCCAGGTGTCTACCCCCTGCCCCCCCAAAATAAGTCCCAAAAGACACTCCCAACCAGTGTGCATGAACTTAAGTTGACCCCGTCAACGGACAGTCCCCGACACACGCGCAACTCACACGCCGAAGTCAGGTCATGTGATGCGAACGCGCAACTGAAACAGTTTTACTTATGGGTCTTGATGATGGCCCAACTAACAAGAGTTCGGAAAAAGCTTGGTCTTGAAAATAACAGTAGAACTATGAATAATATTGACCATTTGTATGTCGCAATTGAAACAAGTTTTTAGGCCATCGTCTGAGACTTGAGTGGAAACAAAATCGAAAGTAGATCTTGATAATGTCCTCAGTCGGAATACCAAATCATTACTGCCTCCGTTATAGTTGAAATTTGAAATTACTATGCGAGCAAAGATCCAAGACAACTTAAGGCGAGTCAACTACTAAATCTGGACGATATTTAGGAAAATAATGCCCCGAGTTCCTACTGACAAAACGTCTAACGGGTGCTTCCCGCAACAAAGAAGAAGGCAGAGTAAGTTTTCAGAAAAATCCGGCGCAACAGACAGAAAAAAAAAATCAGGATACACGCGATTGAAATCGGGAAAATCGGGATGCTTGAGATTGGGGGGGGGGGGGGGGGGGGGGGAATCGGGATGAGTGTAGCATGTACATAGCAAAAAAAAAAGCACACATATCAAGCAGATTTTCAGGTCTTAAATTTTTTTCTTTAAATATATTCCTTGTATTTGAAACATGCACATGAAGTAAACAATTCATGCATAGCGAATAAAATTGGCATTGGCTATAGTAGATCTTAATCAACATGACCAAAATTTTGTTCAGCATAAGAACTGTACAGAGAAAGAAAGAGGGAGAGAGGAAGAACGAGAGGGAGGTAGAGAGAGAGAAGGACAGAGGAAGGGAGTGAGAGAGAAAGAGAAGGAGAGAGAGAGGAGAGAGAGAGAAGGAGACAGAGAAGGAGAGAGAGAGCAGAGAGAGAGAAGGAGACAGAGAAGGAGAGAGAGAAAAAGAGAGAGAGAGAGAGAGAGAGAGAGAGAGAGAGAGAGAGAGAGAGAGACAGACAGACAGACAGAGAGAGAGAGAAAGAGACAGACAGACAGACAGACAGACAGACAGACAGACAGACAGACAGACAGACAGAGAAGGAGAGAGAGAGAGAGAGACAGACAGACAGAGACAGCAAGAGGGGGGGAGGGGCAAACAGACAGACAGACAGTGATCTGCATTCATTATTTCTCCCAGAGAAACAAAAAGTGACTACGAAAATCCTTGTGGTTATGAAAAGCAACAACATATTCTCATTTCTTTTCACTTCATAGCAACAAGGCATTATTTTCAAAATTAGCCAAAGAAGAGTGAAGAGTAAAAACAAATGGCATTAAAATTACCTTCCTCTGCCTTCAGGAACCACTCCAGTGCCTGTAAAAACCATCAAAATAACAATAACAATGACTTCTGAGATGAAACAGATCTTTCAGATGCTGTAAAACCTAAACCAACTACCAGAGCAAATTACAAACTAGTCTCAACCCAGAAATGAGGAAATTCTGCTCAATATAATCAATTATTACCGGAATCTGTTAAAGCACTTGGTGATTGCTTCAAAGGAAAGGAACACTGAAGTTCAGTAGAAAATCAGTCATACATAACATACATAAACCTATTTGCCCTGTGTATTGTCAAACCTACAGCAGACCATGCTTGATCTTCAGCAGGGGAACATAGAAGAAATACTAAAATTATTGAACAGAAGATCACATTCTCATAACAATCACATTACCCCTCCCCCCTCTTCTATAATAGGCTATAAATGATACCATTTCAGATTGAAAGTGAGAATCTTAAACGAAAGAGCCAGTTTACACTATGGGCCAGCAGTCAACATTCACCAATAACTGCTTTGCTTCAGCATGAGTAGAGCACCATAATAATACTATCACTTTGACAATACAATAATAATATTAAATTTTGAAACATATACCATTTGCAGAAAAAAAAACCCAGAAAAATATATTCACCCAGACTCAGAAAATCCCATTTTTTTTCTCAGGCCTTTATTGCTCCTATTTACCACAGTCAACTCCCCATTAAAGAAAATGTCTTTACAGACACCGTTTGTAAAATTCCAGAACACGAATTTAAAGGAATACTTGTCGATTTTTACCTCATCATAGGTAGTTTCAGGTAGCGACTCAAAGAGAGCTGAAGCTAATTTTCTCTGATACCAAGGTCTCTCCGCAAACACAAAGCACCAGTAACCAATAGAATGAAGGGAGATCCCATCATCTGGATCAAGCTCCAAGGCTTTCTGAGAAAAGAAACCGTCACAAAGATTTTTATTGAAATCACTTTTCATAGCTTGTTTTTGAAATGCAAGTTTTTTGGGGGTTTTTTAAACTGCTTTACTGCGCTCGCAACTGCATAAGGTCATACGAGCGAGCAGGACAATTAAAACTTTTTCAGTTGGTAGGATATTCTGAATTTTGCTCGGGTGGCTGCTGAAACCTACTCTTATTGATTTTCGACCACCAAGAGATCTTTAACGTGCACAACTTGCACACGGGCCCTCCGAGATTTTTTGCCCTTGTCAGAGAAGGATAGGTGTAGATCTTTCCTACAAAGAGATCAGGGGTGTGGCTGAAAGATAGCAGTAAGGAGGAGCCAAGGAGAAGCAGTAGAAAGGCTGCAGATATAGTCAGGAGCCCAGAGGAGGGGCAAAGGAGGTGAGGGGGTGGGGGCAGAGAGTGGAAACGAAAGCAGATGACAGAATATTGCAAGAGAGCAGGAAGGGAGGCGAAGGGAGACAATTTTAGAGAAGAACATTTTTCGGTTGCTACCCGGATTCGAACCCGGGACCTTTGAATGAGAGACCAACACCTTATTAACCTTTAGGCCACGAGAGCCCCCTTGATGCAAGTTTGATACAAGTCTCAAACATAAACTTTTAAATCGTGACATCAATCAAACATTTCACTGCGCATGTAGCTCTGTAATAAAATATCTTATGATGAAGCTTTATGAAACAAAAATTTGGGGGGGGGGGGGATGTCTTTTAGACATTCCTCACAAAACAGTTGCAAAAGTAAAGTTGGTCTGGTAAAAAACAGAAAAACAAAGTTTTCAGAGCCCCAAAATATGGCGCACGTTTGAAGAAGCTCTGCCTGGAGCATTTTCATAATTAAAAGTAACAAAGTATAAACAAAATGTGACGCATCGTGGTAAAATCAGGCGCTGATCAATTTGGGGGCATATGGAGTTATTGATATCATCTTAAACCTGTCCATTTGCTTTGCTTTTGAGGGGAAAAAAATCTAGGTACCTTGGATACAAGTCAAGATATTGGCGATAGAAGGAGGTGGGGTTTGCCTGGTTTTAGAGGTAAAATTAGCGAGAAAATGGCAGCCAAAGTTGAGTTATCTCCTTAGATTGTGAATCTTTGGAAACGGAAATATTATATATCTTGTGAATTTAATCAGCGTTTTTCAGTCAAAATCCACACAGAAATGTGTTCTTAAATGGACATAAAGGCGGTGAGCCAAAAAACAAAAATTCGTTAAAAATTACAAAACCGGCAGAAAATGCCAGTTTCTTCAATTTCATTATTATAATTTAGATGAAACTATTATATACAATCAATAATCAATAAGAACTGAAAATGAATATGAATCAAAATAAAACAATACCTTTAGCTCTTTATCTCTGACACGCCACCTGTGCCGGTGCGCAGCTGGCAATGGCTCGAGCACATTTTTTTATAACGACTTCGACGTCAAATTACTTTTCAGCAATGCCGTAACAGGTCTCTTTTACCAGAAGTTCATTCATTAGATGGTTCTTTTGAAATAAGTTCACTTGTTTTGATTTTATGACTAATTTTGTGATGAAAATGTCAGTTTTAGATCTCGTACCAAAAGAATGCCCTAACATAGTGATATAGTGGGTGTAACCCCCTCGTAGATTATAAGTATCATAAAGAGTTAAAATTACCATGACTGATAAGAGACGAAAAAAAAAAAACAAACCTTGTTGAAAGTAATCCTAATCCAAATATAAAAGAACAGAGAAAATTAAAGTTGGAATAAACCTATTGTGTATAAAAATTATCCCTGATCTTACAAATATACTGAGATAACCACAAAAGCTCACTAAATGGTTATTGTTATTGACCAGGACGCAAGAAATTATACATGTATGAATGTAATTGTAACTCTCCTAACTCACATCATTCTTTTATACCCTTAAAAAAAAAAAATCAACTACAATTTTACAAATACTTAAGCAAATAGACAGCATACCAGACACATGATATACTCTCACTCACGCGGAACACGAGACAGTTATTCTTAATGGTAAAGCAACAGCCGTAGCAAATCTTTAATGCATAGTTACGTAACACCCCTTTTTAAAAAGGCAAAAGGCTTACTTACATCAAAGTGTTCCCGAACTTTGTATGCTGTCTGTATCTTATGTTTCAGTCCTATTCCTTCAGTAGTGAAGTGAAGTAAGGCACCATACCACTGTAAAAGACAAAGGCAGAAAAAATTAAAAACTGCGTACGGTACCAAATTCTTAGAGAAATGACACAAAAGATATGAAAGAATAGAAGTCACAATCACAAAGTGTATTAATAATTGATATTCCAATACTTTGAAAAAACACTTTATAATATTACTTATGCTGATGATACACAAAACTTCTTTACATAATTAACTATATGTGTGCATAGACATCTGACAAAAGCACCAATTCATAACAGCTTTTGAACTTTACCCTGTGACAGTGTGGACTGTCCGAGTTGAGCTCCAATGCTTTTTCTGCATAAGAGAAGGCTTCAAGCATGCTGTTTTGTCTTTTTTGTTTATCCTTTTCATGCTTTGCTCTGTCGTGGGTCACTCGTGCCAAGCGCCATTGAATTTCATCATTAGATACCTCTGGTGAAAATAATAAAACCATGATTTTATTCTTCAATAGACTAGACTAGAGGACACACAACTCTTACAAATTATTTTATTTTGTAACACATACTTTCCCACATGGTCTTTCTAAATATAAATGTGAGTATACTCACAATACAGAGCCATTTAGTATATTGACCCATTTGCGGTATCAAAAACCTTGGTAATGCATTAAGATGAAGAACAGCCGGACTGCCAAGCCAGCAGTGCTGATAAAATTTTAAGTACCTAGCCAAGAATACAGAACCCTTGTCATTTAAACAAAGTTGAAAATTTGAGATTCGCTTGGCTTTCGGAAAAGCAAGAGATGCTATATTTGGAAGAAAATTGTCACAAAAAAATTAAGTTTGCAAGTGGGCGCTCAAGAACCTAGCTAGAGTTAATGAGTGGCTACCCCTAAACAAACTTCAAGGGTGAGCTTATTACAGTGTTGATATATAATTCAAACAGTGAAATAGATAAAATATTCTTAAACATGACAGTAGGCTACTTATAATCAATGTACAAAAAGTTTTAAAAACATACAAATAGATTTCCCTCCTCTTAGTTTTTTTTTTTTTTTTAATGAGCTGATTTTTAAGAAACATGGTTAACATTTACCTGATTGTAACACACATTTCATCTTCAATATAGTGAGGTACTCAGTTTAAGTTTATAATGGTCAAGCACCTTTCATTCTATACCTTTACCTCTCTGACAACACACACCTTTATATTCAAGCAGATATTCATACAGCTGTTCAATTTCATATGATCCATAAAGATCATCTGCTTTTTCCAGAACGTCAAGCATTGCTTTATGCTGCAGAGAGTGTTGAGGCTGTAAAACTTTCTCTGCACTCAAAAAATAGAAAAAGAAAAAGCTGTGAACAAACAAAACATCAGTCTTAATACGATAAAAATTAGAAAAGTTAAGAACTGTACCTAATGACTAAATTGCTAATTAAAAAACATTATATAATTCAAAGGATTGAATCTAAATCTTTGAAAAGCTTAACATCCAGGACTTAAAGAAACAATCTATTAAGCTTCAGCGGCACATAGAGCTATTTTTAAAAATTAAGAACACACGCTTGGCATACATTCAATTTTTTTTTCTTTGCACCGATTCCTGAAAGTAACACAATTTCTGTGTGGTAGATCAAGTATTGCAGAAGAGTGGATGATACTTCTTTGTGTAGCTTACACAAATAGAAGGCACTGAGTCGGAATGTACCATACATTACTGTACAGATTGGTGCATGCATACACTCTTTTACTATAATATAGGCCTATTGTGTACAATATCATAGCACAATATATTATAGTAGAACTCATTCACTTGTACAGCCAAATAATCATGACGTAACTTAATACAGTGCAAGTAACCAATATGACTCTCATAACAACTAATAGTAGCACATTATAGTAGTGCAAGAGACAGCAGGCACAAACTAGAAGGGCAGGGAGACTCATGAAGCGATGAATCTCTGCTCACCAGTGACATGCACTGCAGAGACAATACAGTCACTGGTAAGAGAAATGAATCGCTTTAAATCAAGTCGCCAGCCAACATTTATGTAAGTTAATATAACTCGAATAGTACGAGAGTAGCTACCGGCCGAAGTCTTGGGGATTACATGGGGAGGTCTACTTCTTGTCTTGTACAATGTGTTACTGTGGTGTAGTGTTACTACTAGATTCTAGATCATCTCGTGCTCAGGAACTAATCCAATGTTCAAAAATGTAACCAAGATAGATTTCCTACCAGACAAAATACTTAAATTAAGCCTGATAAAAGCAAGGGCAAGGCACGGAGGGTTGTTTGGACAGACAAATTAAATAACCCGATGCTAAGCTATTGATGTCAACTTTGATCTTACAATCAATAAATATACCCACTTACGGTGGAAAACACATAATGTATAAGGATATAACAAACCAACTGGATTTTGCGATTAAATAATATTAGGCCTGGAAGGCCTAGATTCTAGCTCTAGAGCTGAGGTCAAGTCAAGTAGGCTAAGGACTACAACTTGAACTTGACTGTAGTCCATTCCTTTGTTGACAGTTTTCATAAAGGAAAACCAGCAGTCTACTGAACTGACACTGACTATTGACTATACATTAGAATCTACGTCGAACCTGATTTAACGGAAACCTGTGTAAAACAGAAACCTGTCTTAATAGAATCTCCCCGCTCCCCCCGTGATATATTCCCCTTTAATTGCCTGTACAAAACCGAAACCTGTCCAACGCGGAAAAGGAAAGAAAAATCCACTCCCTTCCAAGGGTTTTATCTGTCTAAGACGGAAAATGCTTTGCCAGCTCAGCCCTGATTAGAAACAAAACTCGCAAGTTTGGTTCCAGCGGCTCTAAACTTAACGGTATGCCACTGGGTGAGAAAGGGGGAGTAGGGGTGCAATTTGGGGGTGGATGTTATTCCATCTCTATGTGAGCCCTGAGTGATGCAGATGGTCAGGGTTTAGGATGGTGTGGGTGTGAAATCTCACGAGTACCAGTGAAAGTGCTCAAGTAGCGAGCCACTATGAAAACTTTCCTGGGAAGCCAGAAGCCAGAGGTGCGAAATTAGGTTTGACCAATGTCTGCCGCCCTGATAGTATGGTCAGCCGAGAAAAGAGCTCCTCGAATTGTTGCTACATGACAGTGAGGGTTGGTATTGGTTAACTGTGCTTGTTAAAATGATGGGTGGGGCTAAGGGTGAAAGCAAAAGAGAAGTCCAAACGTTTCTATTTTTAATAGGTCAAACAGTGGTCCTATAAGATAAGATACATCAGTCTTTGTCCACATCCTGGCACATTTGTCACATTGGTTTGGTGTATTACCACGTACACATATATACACACGCAACAAACACAAACACGCACACACACAGGCTTACAGTCACATGCATAATATTTTATAAATGAACAGTTAGTTAATTTAAAGGCCCGCGCTATTTGAAACACATGCGGATAACTTTAGAACGACAGATGTACGCCATTGGCCGATAGTTACAGTAACAGCTATCTTGTTTGATGTCATTGAGAGATTCCCACTTTGTTGTCGTTCACTGTGGCAACATGACCGAAAAAGCACTATTGCAGTATTTTTAAAGCCTGTAGCTTACAGTGGCGTGGTGGTGGAGTGGTTAGAGCTCTTGTCTCAAAAGCAGAAAGTCCAGGTTCAAGCCTCGGTTCAGTTGGACGATCTGGACTTCGCAGATGACTTGGCGCTTCTGTCACACACTCAGGAACAGATGCAAGCAAAGACAACAATTTTAAACAGCCTATCAGAGTCTGTTGGATTGAGGATCCACCCCGGAATGTCGAAAGTCCTAAGGATAGATGCACTACGAAAGGAGCAGGTCACAGTACAAGGAAATGCTCTAGAAGACGTCGAATCCTTTTGCTATCTTGAGAGTATAATTGACAGCGAGGGAGGAACAGGCGCTGAAATAAAGTCCCGCCTTGGAAAGGCACAGACTGCATTTATTTCTTTGAACAGGATTTGGAGGACCAGGGATATCTCATTACGAACAAAGTTTAGAATTTTCAACTCAAATGTGAAACCAGTCATGTTGTATGGATGTGAGATGTGGAGCGCATCCTAGACATGTATAAAGAGGATCCAGGTTTTCTTAAACAAGTGTCTGAGGAAGCTACTGAGGATCAAAAGGACAGACAGGATCACCAACGAGGAAGTATTAAGAACGAGACAGAGACCAGTCAGAGAAGAGGTGGGAAGAAGACGTTGGCGATAGATTGGACACACTTTCAGGAAGTCAAGCAGCTGCATAACAAGAAAAGTGTTAGATTGGAACCCACAGGGTAAAAGATCAAGAGGAAGACCACGTGGAACCTGAAGAAGAGTCACGGAAATGGATGTACAGAAAAGTGGGAAGACGTGAAGTGACATGAAGCGACTAGCCCAGGAAAGGGAAAGGGGGAGAGTGTTTGTTCGAGGCTTATATCCTGATCCAGGGTGAGAAAGGCAACGATGATGATTGAACACATCAACTCACTGTGGTGCAAAATTGGAAATTCCTAACCCAGTTCAGAGAGATGTGAAAGCGGTACTTACTTTCTTGACGTCCCTCGTATTATTATTTTATTTTTATTATTGGCCTGCCAAGGAGGAGGAGGAGGAGGAGGAGGAGGAGAAGAAAAGAAATGGTTTTGGTTTGTATATTTCTGATTTTTTAAACACCAAGTTCACGGACGCTGTCTTCAAACTGAGGCAGATACGAAAAAGCAATAGAATACGACTCAATAAACAAACATTGTTTTTGTGGATCAAAACAGGTAATTAGACAGTAAATACATGTCTCACGTGCTGAAATAACCCGCTTCGTAAAACATTCTCTCTCTCTTTCATTTGTAGCACTGTGCGTTCCGTAGCTTTACTGCAGTTGGTATATATTTATATTATGAATGTCTATCTCTGTCTGTTCTTGCTTTTTTGGAAATCATGTATCGTTTACTGAGGGTTGATAATTGAAATTCCGATGTCAGTGGGTGGCTATGGTCGCTTAGCATTGTTTCCACCTTTTTAGTCTAAGTTTGTTTTGTGCAAATTATAAAGAGTTGAACTTGTTGGCTTGAGTCACTGTTTTATTCCCAATCCTCACAAAATTCTGATCAGTAGGTATAATCCCATATCTATGAACAGCTTCAAAAAAGTCCTCCAACAGGGGAATTCATCTCCAACTTTCAGTAACTTAAAGGTTCAGCCATCATCTGATTATGAAAATGTCATATCAACTTGCAACACGCAGCTCAGCAGGTTGAGTTTGTCGGCTGAACAGAAATCACGCATGGTCTAGGCTTCGGTGTTTTAATTAGCACCCGGGCTATTCAACAGGAAGCGTTTTATACCTAATCGAAACGCAGCGTTTTATTTAGCATGGGGCTAATCGCAACACTGTGTTTCAAATAGGCACTTTGTAACATTAAAAAAATAATCAAGCTAGGTACATGATAGGCTATTCAATATTCTGACTAAACTCTTCAATGTAAATTCTAATGCATGCGCATGCTCTAAGGTCATCATATATATGAATACTTGTTGTAAAAAGATGGTTAAGATGGAAGAATTTTGATAGATGATGGTAAAAATGACCTTCTCTGCATCTTTCTTGGTTCGAAGTGGCTATTCGGACTCGAGTCCGAATCCGAACAGCCGCAGGAGGCTATTCGGACTCAAATTCCAGTGCACATGCGCAATCACCGGTTGTACCCGTAAGCGAGGTCTAGACTCGAGTCAGAAAGTCTCCCGTTGCTATTTGGACTTTAAACTACTGGTAGGCTATTACACTGCGTGTCACGACTACAAAGCGATCAAAACATAATTCATAATCAGTCCTTACAAGACAGCCCCCCCCCCCCCCCCCCCCCCCCCCCCCTTCCCTTACTCTCTCATCTCTCTCTTACTATTCCTCTCTCTCTTTCTCTTACTTTTCTCTCTCTCCTTCTTACTTCCCCAGGCCTGCCCCACCACCTTCACCCCTTTTTTTTGTGTGCGTATAAATAGATCTATATTCCCTCCCACTGCCCCGCCCTAACTATTATATTTATCCTTTGTGAAGAAAAGACAACAAAGTTCACGCAGGGTCACAACGGTCGGCATCCATTTGTTTAAAGTTCCTTGGCCAGATCATAGAAACAGAGGAAGGCCAAGGTCGAATTGCTTGTTGTCTGCTTCACATCCAGTACACCAAGTGATTGTGCACGCACTTGGAGTTAGATTCCGAATAGCTACGGAAGGCTATTCAGACTCTTATAAGTTCGGACTTGATTGACTGAGTCCGAATAGCCGCGGCCTTCTTTGTTACAGATCAGAAGCCTAAATCTAGGTCTTTTACTTCTGACTGATGTTTATTTGGGGGAACAAGGGATGTTTATTGACCAAAAAGATGAAATGCAAGCACTTGGTTGTCTTGGTGGAAACTGGATGAAAGTAACACTGACCCCCATGTCATCATCAGAGAGGATAGCAGTTGAGAGGTGTGAAGTTTTGACCACAGCTTGCCGACCAAACAAGTGACCCTTGAACTTGAAACCATAGGCTGGGCCTTTGAAACCCCCCTTCCCCTATCTAGCTCTCTTATCCCTGAGAATCAAGTCAATTTGGCAAAGCTAAGGTCGATCTTCATCATCTAGATCTAGATCTAGATCTAGATCTAGATCTAGATACAGTCGAACCTGCCCTAACGGCCACCTCTATAAGACGGCCACCTGTACAAACGGCCACTTTCCATTCCCCCCCTTGCCTTTTTACTATATAATTTAACTGTGTAAAACGGGCACCTGTCCAACGCGGCCGCGGCCACCATAATTTAACACACAACTCCTTATATACTAAGCAATAACACACCTGTCTTATACGGCCACATTAGAGACTCCATTACGTTTTGTCATAAATTGTGCACTGGCCTCTGGCGTTGTGGGCGAGCCGTCATAATTCAATCACCTGTCGTTGTTGTTAGGTAGTCCCTCCAACCGATCATGTTGCGTAGGCCCCTCCCACTGTTGACCAATAGCTACCAATTTTCAGCTGCTGGTGAGGTTAGCGAGTGATCCCTCATAACCCATAAGCCCCGCCCAGAACTCATACACACATCGTAAGTGAGATGAGTGGTCACTGTTTACCCAGTCTGTAACAAAGTAACAAAGGCAAAGGGCGTCAACATGAACTCGTGATAGAAGCGTCGCTCGTTCTCCGAGTGGTGGCGACCCGTGTGTTTGTTTAAACATGGCACTCCTTGTCCGATACATTTCGTTTTATTGCCACCCTTGTGCAAAATCGGCAACAAAATAAAAATTACAAACGAAATACAAACAACAACAACAACAACAAAAACAACAACAATGGGGCTACTTTCGATTTGGACCATGTTTTCTTCATCTTGATCAGTCCTGCCTAAGACGACCACCTGTCTTATACGGCCACTTAAATTTTCTCCTTGACAATGGGTGGCCGTCTTACACAGGTTTGACTGTATAGATCTATCTAGAATCTAGATCTAGATCTAGATCAAGATTTAGATCTGGGCCTACTTCAACTAGATCTACTTGAACTTGATTGTGTAGCCTAGACCATTCCTTTGTTGGCAGTTTTTATACACGCAAATGGAAAACCAGCTGTTTACTGACAGGATGGAACTGGCACTGCCAATGAATGACAATGTCAATGATTGTCCTGACAATGTATTCAATTTCCCCTCTTGGGAACAAAACAAAAGAAGAGTTAATTAATTCATCATGGGCATAGATTCTAGATCGAGAGAGAGAGAGAAAGAGAGAGAGAAAGAGAGAGAGAGAGAGAGAGAGAGAGAGAGAGAGAGAGAGAGCTTCTTGTTCTATTATGGAGATGGGTGTCCGCACTCACCGTCTCAAACTGATTCCCAATTCAAGCCTCTTTTACGTGGATCCAGTTCTAAATTGAAATTGCCCCATCATGATTCTCTTTCCTGGTCTTGGTCTATGACTATGACTGTACTTTGAAACAGTCAAACAGTGTGTCTATTGACAATGAAAACCTAAAGTAATAACACTGTTGAGCATTCGGAGCTTTGTGCCACTTAGTGAACCATTGCCAAATCAATAGTAGAGAGAACTAACGTCACGTAACCTGGATTTCCGCTGCAACAGCCGAGCCTACTTCACTTTTTTACTTTTTTTTTAGCTAGGCCTTGCCAATGGAGGTACAGGAGGGAGATCAACTCTTCTTTTTCTTTTCCTCGTCCAAAGCACAATCCCCGGATTATGTTTTGGAGACCAAAGAGGTTGTTTGGAGACTAGCCTAACTGATGTGTGGCAATGTGTTGGGAACGTGAATGAAACGGTATATGGTACTTCAATCGGGGATTTTATCGTTTGTAAAAATAACCTTACTAACCTTACTTTAGAAAGGTCCGTGTTATTACCCTTTTCACCCCTAAAGACAAAAGACAATTTCTTGAAAAAAGGCTCTCGACAGCGTGAACTGCTAAATCTGGACAAAGCCGGCCAAAGATCTATCGTACGATTATAATGTTGTGGGCGGGGCACAGAATTCTACACTTAGTGTAGAATTCTGTGGGGCGGGGTTATGGACGTTCGTTAGTCAACCGTGACTTTCAACGAAGCACCGGGCACAGTAATTAATAATTAGATCTAAGCAATGTTAATTATCAATATTAGTACGCTTAATTTAAATAACGCACTTACAACCTTGATAAATGTTGAAGTATAGATCTAGGTCAACGGAATAGAAGAACTAGACGAAACTGCACAGTAGATCTACGGGACAGGCAGCCGCTGTCTTCAAAACGTGCGATATTGGGACAAATAAATTACAACATGTTATTATGTGGGTCTACTTTAATTTTTTATTATATTATATGTATCATTATTATACGTGCAGGAGTCCTGGGTCCACAGCCTACATAATGTTCAAGCTCTGTGAAATTCATATCGACCAGGCGCAACATCTCTCTCTCTCTCTCTCTCTCTCTCTCTCT